ACTACATTTTGGACAAGTACTTTTTTCTTTTCGCCAATGAGTATAGGCGTCTCTTAGTAAACTCTTGATATTAGTTGTACTTAAGGGAATCGGAAACGATAATCGGATAGTTTCTTCTGCGTACGAATTGACATAATTGCAAGTATTGCATCGATCCACATATTGCAAATGATTAGTAAATAATTGTTTTATTTCACAATATTTTTTACATAGCAAATCAAAAAATAATAGAGGGTCTGTTTCTCCATCAGTATTAAAATGACTTCCAATTTCTTTTAACAGGATGGAAGTACTCAGGTCACTGTGATTATTTGTATACATAAACAATAATTGTTTTAAAGGAGACTTAGAGTTACTAGTCAAATCTCTAAAAAAATTTGATGTCAAAAGACAATTAGTAATTGATTGCATAGCAGCATTTGCAAAACTACTTCTTCCATTATAGTTTTCTAATCCATTTATCGTAATTTCTCGATTGTACGATTTACGGTCTGAAAGATTATGACTATTATCAGAAATATCTGATTCATTCACAGCCCATTGTAAATCAAGCACTTTCATTAAGCGTCTTTCGTTAAGTGCAATTTCTGGTAATTCGGGTTTATATTTTACTCGTAAACAATTATATTCACTTATAGCTAAAGAACTGGCTTTAACTTGGAATGGATCGAAATTGATTAAATGAAGACCTTTCAATGTAGTTAATCGTGAAAGTGCTACATAAGTTCGTCCACTTGTAAATACACGATTTCCCACATCGATGACCGCATTCGTTAAACTCAATCCTTGACTTTTGTGAATAGTTATACTATAACTTAAACATAGTGGAAACTGTTTTCGAATAAGATAAGCATTATTTATTACTTGAAATTTAGCACTTATTCGTTCAATAGTGTACTCTTTTTTGTTAGCTAATTGTATAGTTATAGAATCAATTTGGTCATTTTGAGTTGATTCTGAAATTGACATAATTTTTCCGATCGTACCATTCACAAGCCCTAAGGTCACGTCAATGTTACGTCTGATCATAATCTTTGCTCCTAACTTAACTTTGATTATTTCAGCTAACCCAGCAGTCCTTGTATCATCATTTTCTAATTTACTCAAAATTTTTTCTACTTTTTTTATCAATTATTTTACGAAGCCCGTTTTTTATTTTTTTTAAGACAGAGAAAAATTTAATTTAAAATTGTCTCATTCAAATAGCAATAATCATGTACTATTAATAAGACAATATTAGGAGCTAAAACCACGATTGATGACTTTTCTAGCTATTCCTGATGCTACATAGGGGTATTACTTGCTTGTCTCTATTCTGTGTAGCCCGATTTTCATTTTTCAAGAAAGAAAAAGTTTAATTTGAAAATGTCTCATTTAAATAGCAATAATCATGTACTATTAATAAGACGATATGACGAACTAAAACCATGATTGATGACTTTTCTAGCTCTTTCTGATGCTACATAGGGGTATCACTTGCTTATTTATTATTTTTTGAAGCCCGCTTTCTATTTTTTCTAAGACAAAAAATAGTTTAATCAAAAAATGTCTCAATCGAATAAAAATGAATTTATATCATTGATAAGACATTGTTTGGAGCTAAAAACATAATTGATAAATATTTTTGCTTGCTTAGCAATCGTTTTGCGAGACTTTTTTTTTATTTCTTCAAGACACTTAAAAGTTCAACTCCTAAATGTCTCATTGAGAAAGCAATGAATATCTCCTTTCAATAAGACATTATTAGGAGCTAAAACCATGATTGATGACTTTTCTAGCTATTTCTGATGCTACATAGGGGTACTACTTGCTTGTCTCTATCCTGTGTAGCTCATTTTCCATTTTTTAGACAGAAAAAGTTCAATTTAAAAATGTCTCATTTAAATAGCAATAAATAAGTTCTTTTATAAGACGATACTAGGAGCTAAAAACTTATTCGATGACTATATTTGCTATTTCCGATGCGACATAGGTGTATTACTTGCTTGTCAATTATTTTACGAAGCCCGTTTTTTATTTTTTTTAAGACAGAGAAAAATTTAATTTAAAATTGTCTCATTCAAATAGCAATAATCATGTACTATTAATAAGACAATATTAGGAGCTAAAACCACGATTGATGACTTTTCTAGCTATTCCTGATGCTACATAGGGGTATTACTTGCTTGTCTCTATTCTGTGTAGCCCGATTTTCATTTTTCAAGAAAGAAAAAGTTTAATTTGAAAATGTCTCATTTAAATAGCAATAAATAAGTTTTTCCATAAGACGATATTAGGAGCTAAAAAAGGTTGATGACTTTTCTAGCTATTTCTGATGCTCCATAGGTTTATTACTTGCTTGTCAATTATTCTACGAAGCCCGTTTTTTATTTTTTCTAAGACAGAGAAAAATTAAATTAAAAATGTCTCATTCAGATCGCAAAAAATGTGTACTATTAATAAGACATTATTTGGAGCTAAAAACATCATTAAAACCTATTTTTGCTTATTTCAATGCTACATAGGTGTATTACTTGCTTGTCTATTATTCTGCAAAGCCCGTTTTCCATTGTTTCAAGACAAAAAAAAGTTTTTTTCGAAATTGTTCCTTATTGATATCAATAAATATGTTATATTTCGATCAGATATTATTCGGAGCTAAAAACATGATTAATGACAATTTCAGCCATTTTCAACGCTACATAGGTGTATTACTTGCTTGTTTATTATTTTGCAAACCCCGTTTTCAATTTTTCAAGACAGAAAACGTTTAATTTAAAAATGTCTCATTCGAATAAAAATAAATTTGTACTATCAATAAGACATTATTTGAAGCTAAAAACATAATTGATGACTATTTTTTGCTTGCTTAGCTATCATTTTGCGAAGACCGTTTTTTTATTTTTTAAAAACGAAAAAAAGCACAATTTGAGAATGTCTTATTCAATGAGTAATAAATATGTTCTATCAATAAGACATTATGAGGAGCTAAACGAATAATTCATGGTAATTAGCTATTTCCGATATTACGGAGGTGTATTACTTGCTCGTCTCTATTTTGCAAATCCTGTTTTTTAATTTTTCAAGACAGAAAGTTCGATTCGAAAATGTGTTATTAAAAAAGCAATAAATGTAATCTTCCAATAATACATTATTTGGAGCTTCAAACGTAATTGATGTCTTTTTTTGCTTGCTTAGCAATCATTTTGCGAGACCGCTTTTTTATTTCTTTAAGACAGTAAAAAGTTCAACTCCTAAATGTCTCATTGACAAAGCAATGAATATCTCCTTTCAATAAGACATTATTAGGAGCTAAAAACATATTTGATGACTATTTTAGCTATAACCAATGCTACATACGTGTATTACTTGTTTGTCAATTATTCTGCGAAGCCCGTTTTTTATTTTTTCTGAGACAGAGAAAAAGTTTAATTCAGAAATATCTCATTTAGACCGCAAAAAATATGACCTACTGATAAGACATTATTTGTAGCTAAAAACATCATTAAAAACTATTTTCGCTTATCTTAATGCTACATGGGTGTATTACTTGCTTGTCTATTTTTCTGCAAAGCGCGTTTTCCGTTTTTTCAAGTGAGAAACAAGTTTAATCCGCAATTGTCGCTTATCGATATCAATAGATATGTAATATTTCGATGAGACATTATGTGAAGCAAAAAAAATGATCGATATCAATTTTAGCTATTTCCGATGCTACGTACGTGTATTACGTGCTTGTCTCTATTAAGCAAAGCCCGTTTTTCATTTTCCCAGACAGAAAAAGTTCAATTTGAAAATGTCTCATTCAGACCGCAAAAAATATGACCTACTGATAAGACATTATTTGTAGCTAAAAACATCATTAAAAACTATTTTTGCTTATTTCAATGCTACTACTATATAAAATTTGGATATGTTTTTCATAGATTTTGATAGGCTCTATGTCACATGATCTTGCTTAAAATAATGTATCACGGTGGTTATAATTAGTACAATTAGCTGAAATAAATTTAAACTGTATCATCTGATCATCGGTCAATTTTTGACTATTCAATATCATATTTTTTTAATTTTCAGGAAATATGCGAATATTAATTTTCAATGTTTTTCGCTTACGTTTAATTGCTTGATCATGTTCTTTTAAATAGTCATCGGGCAATTTTCTTTTCAAGTTTTCATTTTTGTTACACACTTTATCATCATATCTTTTATTTTTACAGGTGTGGTTAACTTTAGATTTTAGATTTCTTATTAACATTTCCGTTATCTTGTTTGTTGTATAGAATTTTTTGTATTTTAGCATTTTTGCATTAAATTTTATTAGTAGCAAATTGAGTTTTTTTTTATTTGTATTAAATGATATGGTTTTTAAGGTTTTATGCAACTTTTTGTCCTGATAACTATTTAATAATTTTTTGCTGCATTGAGAAGTCAATAATTTTGAAAAAACTGATAGTATTTGGCTTTTAAAGATATTCAATGAATGGTAACGCATACTTTGTTGATCATACTGTAAATTTCCTGGCTATGCACCATGACCTAATGAAACAGCGAACGCAATTGCAAAAACACCGCAGTCAGTGTCATTCGATTGATTTTGAACATCTGGAAAAATAATGTTCGTTCCAGAATTAAGAGGAATTAAAGGATATGATCTATTGACACATTGTGTTTGTTTTTCAGTTAATTGTTTATTATTCATAGAATCAAAAATATATATTTTATTCGTGTCGTAATACATAAATACCAAATGATCAGAAGCATGATAATTAAGATCTGACTCACCAGCTCGATTATGCAAAATTTGAATATGCCTTTTATTTCAATCCAAAGGCTCTAAAAGATCTAATAGCTAAGTTCTCTAATTTTCTAGAAAAACATAACCGAACTGATGATATAGCAATAAAGCAAAGAAATCTATGTCTTCATCGAAAAGACGTTCTTCATATCTAATAGCATCTACATTATATTGTTTTTGAATTGACATTTTTTTTTATATATAATGATATCAATATGATCGAATTGATTTAAAAATTAGCTGCTCAGAAGCAGTTTATTCGTATAAAGGATAATAATAATTTTCAACTGACTGCTCGGAAGCAGAATACTCGTATTTTAAGTATTTCTCATAATGCCTTCGTGATAGAGATTTACCTGAAAATTAAAAATAAATATCATAATTTATAAACTCTGATATGTAGGGGAAGGATGGGTAAAGTGGCACGCCGAGACAAAGTGAAACGCTCGCGAAAATATACTAATTTATCAAAATAAGTTTAAAAACGCCTATTGCACTTTTCGTTTATTAATGCATTAAATATTATTAACATTTGTTAATATAATCGTTGATTTTTGAATTAAAGTTTTTTCTTCGTTTCATTTTACTCCCCCTTCTTCTACTCATGAGATCATATTATTAAATTTTTTTTTCAAATTTCGCATAGAATATCATAAAATTCATTTTTCCTGATGGACTTGTTAAACCCTGGTTAAACTGTCTCGTTGAAAAACTAAGTTTCAATGGAAAAAATGCATAAGAAATTTCTTGTAAAATCTTTTTAAAAATTATTTATTTTTGAAATCGGTGATAACTCCTATTGGAATGAATAATATTTAATTAGATTTTAATGCTGTCAAAATTTCCTATCAAATTAAGGGTGAACCTATTAAACGTTCCAATAGGATCTTAGTACCACAAAAACAATCAGTTTTAATGGAAGGAATTTTGAATTCATTTTCGAGGTTTATCATTTATACGGATTTGTTGTTCAAATATACACCTAAATTGGAATTTATTAGAAATTTTGTCCGAAAAGATTATGTTTATGGTCCGATTCGATCTCGGCATCCACGGGTCCACACAGTCCAGTACGCTGCCGACTGAGTTATTCTTAAACATGAAGACATAACTCTGGCCTAATCTATTTGAGTTAAAAACTTGAAATAATTCAAACATTAATCAAGTTTTCTACCTAGCAAGTATTCCAAAGCAGAAGAAGAATAATTGTCATTTGTAACAATATGGCAAATAACATGCAACTTAGAAATTACATCTCTATCCCGATGTTCCCGTGACAGGAGTTTATATCATTTGAGGAGCGAACATTAGAACAATTCTTGTAGGAAGTCAATAGATTCAAACAGAAAATACGATTCAGAGGATGTTTTCTCGTTTCAATATGCCACAATAGGTTTCAATATTGTTTGATAGATGCAATTTTTTCAAGTCTTTACGGGGAATAAATATACTGAGAAAGAAAAAAAATTTTGACATTTGTTAATAGGAAAAATCAGATTTTTATGGGTTTATAATAGTTATTCTCAATTCCGATTAAACTTTTCTTGAAAATCTTCCTTTTTAAGTACTTCTCTGGCTGAATGGAGTGAAAGATTTTTACTTTTTTAACAAGAGAGTTTAAGCAGAGAATAGACGAGCAATGTTTAAATAACTATTTACCATAATACAATTTTGTTTTTTTAAATATAGGACAACGGTTGCAGAAAAAAAACAACTCTTAACCACAATTACAGTTGATTTTAGGTAAAATTATCCTGAAATGACTCGAAGTAAACGATAAGTTTACTATTAACCCAATCAAAACTCTCAGTTAGTCGTTAACCAAAGTCCATCAGAATTAGTTTCCTATATTTAAACATTAAAAGGTTTCTATAATTTTATAAAATTATACATCCGGAATAATATACATATTTATATTGTAAGGTATTCGAATAGATTTTCATAAGCGTAAGGAGTGATCTTTTATAACAATAATATAATCCTTTCATAAGTCTAAATAAATTATTATCAATAAACATGTTGAAAGAGTAAATATCATTCTAATTATAGCTCAAATTTTGTGTCATGAAGTCAAAGTCCAACTCAACAAGCTACAATAAACATTATAACTAAAAAATATTGATTAATAGCAAAGTTTGAGCAGCTATTAGAATATACAATACGATCGATTATAGTTATTCATTGATTTTTTTAGAATCAAACATATATTAAAACCGAATCAGCAAAATAATCTCGTAACATACATCTATAGCTAAAAATAATTCTATAAAAGCAACAAAATATAACCTCATAGGTTAATATATATCGTTATATACAATTATTTAAACTATCATAAGATTACGAAAAAAAATTCGATATATGTTTGAGTAAACATGAAACATTTAACAATACATTACCTTATTGATAATAAATCTGTTCGTGACAATTCAGGATTATAATTTGATACTTCTGTCAAGCTGATTTCAATCTGGCAAAAAAGTACAATTATCGTTTTGAAATAAGATATTCGGACCTAAATAAAAAAAAATATAATATTGTAATATATTTTTTAATTGTAAAAATAAATAAACGATTCTTTTTTCAGAATCGAAATATTTATCTACCTACAAAAATATCTCAATTTGATGCGTAAACATACATTAACCAGTGTACTCACCTTATTTACTGATAATAAAATAATTCCGATTGAAATTTAATGATAGTTTATTGCTCAAATAACTCAGTGTTGTAAATGAAATCAGATAATACACGCCGCAATAAATTAAACTGGATGAATGGTTTAGCAGGACTGCGAGATTTTGTTTTTGTGTAGAAATAATATATAGTGACATCTATAGTATATTTTAGAAGACCTTCCATCGTTATAACAATTTTTATCATTTTCTTCTACTAGATGTCACTACTATTTTAATCTTCAATAAAGGGGAGTTACCGGCGAAGTAGATCATACCATCTAGCGCCATCTATCTGTTTTTCATTTTGAAAAAAATTAGTAAAAAAAAGCTAACGATTGAGAATTTCAAATATATTTGTAATTTTACCAGCTAATTTAACTGTAAATTGACCTGCTACTAAATAGTCAAAACGGTAGCAAATGCAAAACTTTAAATGAGACAATCATTGGAATCAAGGAGTGAATGATACCTTAAGCATAGATTAAATAGTAAATAAATAAAAGACTATAATAAGTAAATAACAGAAAAAAAATTTTTATTTTATTCATTTAAATATAAGTTAATTTTTTTTCGACTGCATGTTCCCCTTATAACAGTAAGAGCTCCTGGAACCCAATTTTTTCCAAGACGATCATGGATTGCTGCTCCTCGTGTTCTCGCGACTCATAATATCTGAAAATGGTAAAAAAAAATGGAACTAATAAATGCACGAAAAAAAGTAAATACAAACCGACGGTTCCTTCCTTTAAGATTTCTTCGTCCTCTTTTTAAGTTCCCAGTGGCAAGTGATATGGGTCCAATTTTGCGAATCGCTAATTTTGACATATCTCCACGTTTTAAGGTCCCGCGAATCCAATGCGACCGTTTTTCAGTGGACGTCTGTGTGTATGTACGTATGTGCGTATGTGTGTATATGCGTATGTGCGTATGTGCGTACGTACATCCGGAATTATTTTTCACCTCGATTATCTCGCGAACGAAAAATGATATCGATGTGGGACCAATTGCATTCGACGCGTAATCACGTAACTTAGAACTGAAAAAGTTTTCAGGAAAATCGGTAGAGCCATTTTTTTGGCAGAATCAAAAAACTGGAAAAAAAGGAAATTACTTGAATTTTGCCATTTATAAATTATACCATTTTCTAGAAAAAATTTCAAGATCATTGCAGAGATATGAATATTAAATAATTGGAATACTTGTATGGATACATGATGACAATATTTCATCGGAAAAAAAAATTTAAAAAACAAAATCAGCAATAAAAGAATTTTAGAATCGTGTCAAAATTGAGTAAACAGCGTTAGAGACGCTATAATAGTCAATAATAATTGTCAATAATATAGAATTATGTTCATAACAATTGCACATTGTTACTAACAAGTGATTATTGATCATAGTAATATTTAAATAATAAGTTTCAAATTGTTATAAACAATAAAAATAGGGACCCTTTCTATATATACGAGTACTTTTAACGCATGATTTTTTCGTTCACTGAAAAAATGTTACCAACCGTATGACATAAATAAAAACACTTCTTTCGTGTATAACAATGAAATTCGTTGTAAATAATAAAAAAAAGGATCTATGAGGTACATTCGAATTCTTCTAACGCACAATTTTTTCTTTTACTGAAATAAAGTAACTAACCATATCAAATGAATATAAACAGACTCATTTCGTTTATAACAATTCCATTTGTTATCAAAAATGGAAACGGGTTCTATTTAAATTGTTTTATTATTTTTTTTTGGGAAGTTGGTCGTGTTGACTTTTCGGGTCGCACCCAGACCACTGCAGAGCACTGATATTTTTTTTTAATTTCACAGGCCCTGATTGCTCTTCAACTTTTTTCTGACCTTCATCTTCTTCATTTACAAAAGTTTTCTATGGATAAATTAAACAATTATTATGTTTATTATATATTTATAGTCGTTAAGTACATAAAATATATAATCTTCATAAATAATCATTTATTCATCACGAACTTTTTTGTTTGACTTTTTAAAATAAATAAACAATTCCTTTGCACTGCACTTTTCGTATTTTAGTTTAGTTTCTGATGTGTTATCTATTTTCTTAATCTTGAGTTTTTAGTTATCATGATCAGCCGTTACTAACTCTTTTCTTCGAAAAAATCAGTTGGTAATAGTGGCACAAAATCTATAATGTGGTAATAAGTATAGTTAATGCAGCGCATTTTGGCCCGCATCGGGCTGGTCTGTCACGTCCTGTCGTTCGTTTCACCGCCAGGCGACGCTGAAGCATCGATTCAAGATGCGGAAAATGTCCAAAGAATAAGAATGAAAAGGTGACATCAAAATAATTGTATTCGAAATTATTGCTATTTATAATAAGCATCAATCTAATAGATAATGAACAGCTCAAGTATTTTTGTTTAAGCATCAAGTACTTTCTGAATAATAATATTTTATTATTGCAAATGTAGAAATTAGAATTTTTTGTCTTTTAGTAATGCAATTAATTATTGCATTAGTTAAAAAGAGGTCGATAGTGTGATTTAGTACGACGTTACAGGTCAGTACTACTAGCGCTCATAGCGGAATAATTTCTGATGGAGTCACAAGCGTCCTCAAGCGGTAGCATGGGGAAGATAGGGAGTCGGATAGGGCTGGCTCGCATTGGTGCGCGCATTTTGTACGCTGACAAACGACATTCATTTGTTCAAAAATGGAAACACGAAAAAATAATATAGAATATTTAAGAAATCTATTGAAACAAAAAGAAGAAATGATAAAAAGAAAAAAAAAGAAAAGAATATACACAAGAGCTGATGAGAAAAATAGAAGAAGGAGCAGAAGTAAACAAGAATGAGTACGTAGAATTAATTAATTTTAACGATGAAATGAATGTAGAGGAACAGGGTCAGATAAATTATGAAAAAGACAGAAGTAGTAAAAGTGATAAAAATGACAATGAAGAAAATTACAATAGAAAAGAACAAGTTAAAAATGGAAAAAATAATTACAACGGTAATACTGCTACAAATTTTAATCTGTAAGTCCAATTTTTTCTTTCGCTTGTAAATACATACATACATACATACATACATACATACATACATACATACATACATACATACATACATACATACATACATACATACATACATATATACATACATACATACATACATACATACATACATACATACATACATACATACATACATACATACATACATACATACATACATACATACATACATACATACTACATACATACATACATACATACATACATACATACATACATACATACATACATACATACATACATACATACATACATACATACATACATACATACATACATACTTCCCAGTGGGAAGTAATAGTAATGGGTCCGATTTTGCGAATCGCTAATTTTGACATATCCCCACGTTTCAAGGTCCCCGGAGTTGAATACGATAGTTATTACGCGGACGTCTGCGTGTGTGTTTGTACGTATGTGCGTTTGTACGTATGGGCGTATGTGCGTATGTGCGTTCGGAATCATTTTTCGCTCCGATTATCTCGAGAACAAAAAATGATATCGACGTGGGACCAACTGCATTCGACGCGTAATTACGTAACTTAGAACTGAAAAGGTTTTCAGGAAAATCGGTGAAGCCATTTCCGATAATAGCATATCGAGCGTGGTGCAATTTTATGATTTCAAACATTTTTTGCATATGAAACAAGTTGAAAATATTAGACTTTCAAACAACAGTGACAAGGCGCTGTTTTTTTCACAGGTATCGCACGATATCGCTTTTTGTCGCTGAATAAATTATTTGACTAAGGTAAAATAGGTACTATCAGTACTGTGTGTGATTACTGAAAATCTTTACGATGGAAAGAAGAGCTCTCAGGCATCTGTTGTTTTGGACGATAAGTCCAATTTAACGGCCACCTGAACCACTGAAATCGTTATTATGTGGCAAACATCAACATTTACAACACTGTCTCAATAATATTCGATGAGAGAAGTTAGCATTTCAAATGACTTCTTTTGGAGCAAAGGAGGTCAACGAAGGGAATTTTATGCCAACATTTAGCGTGAAAGAACAAGTATATCGTTTACAATATAAGTATATAGTTTACAAACCATGCCTAATAAAATTAATCGTTAAATTCAGGATTTTGAAACAGCTCTTCAATTATTTCCACCAGATTCCATTGAAAATTATTACAAAATTGTAATAAATGCTGATTACCGTCCTTCAACTGAGCACAGACAACGTCATAATGATCCAACAACTCATTAACTATCCGTTATAATGATAGATCAACGTGGTGACAAACAAGATATCATATTCCGCAAAAAAAAACGACCGTTTACAACCCACCGTACAGACACATAGATTACATGATGCATTACAATATCCTCTGATATTCGTTCCTAGTGAAAATGCGCTTACGTGGAAAATATATCTAATCGTGCACTTCTTGCAATACAAAATATTGTGCTCTTAATAGATGGAAACAACATTGATTATGACAGTTTACTGTCTCCACAGACAACTGACAATTTTATCGATACGTTAAATAAAGAATACATACAACAAATGAACTCTGATCCAATCGAACTTCGACACACTATAAATCATAATGAACCAATGTTGAATACTGAACGGAAACAAATTTATCAACTCCCTATCGATAAAATAAATAGACATGCTGGTGAAATATATATTTTTGATATGCCTCGAATGGTACCTGCAAAACGTTCTTAATTAGTTTTACATTAGCATAAATGCGTGCTAATAAAAAGATTGCGATAGCAGTCGTATTATCAGAAGTTGCTGCAATATTACTTCTCAGAGGGAAAACAGCATTCTACGTACAAAATACCAATTGAAGCTCATCATATAGAAAACCCGGTATGTGGCATATCTACGAATAGTCATGGAGCCAGCGTCTTACAAGACTGTGTTTTTCTAGTATGGGATAAATTTACTATGAAAATATATATTGAAAAGTTTCATTTGAAACAAAACATGAGGGCACAATTAGGTGATTCAGAATTTTGTAATATTCTTTTAGACATTATCCAGTCGAATTTACAAGCAGCATAAATACACCTGTCTTCCAGTTTATA